GATCAACGAGTATATATTGTCGACCACAGTATGCCTTCGTCCTCAAGCTTTCGAGCTTTCTCTTGAACGTATCGACAATGCTGGGAAATATATGGGGCGTATGTGCCGTCTCGAACTGCATCTTGATCTTTGTCAAAGTGAAACCGCTACAAATTGAGCGAGGCTCAGCCTCGTGGGGCCGATCGGACGGTCAGATACGCTAGACAATCGCCGATTCAAACGGATGAAAAGTGAACGGCAGAAGGATCTAAGAGGTATATGGAAATCCTGCTGCCTTTCCAGAGGTACGATGAGGGTACTTCCACACAGACAAGGCTGTGAGAAGCCCCGCTTAGTCTGCATCTGCATAGTAGCTTCGCAGGTGGTAGAAGACTGATAAGATTGTAAGTTACCATAATTCAAGCGCACACTCGGACCTTAGAAAGCTGTGCCCACCAAGCCTTAATCCTTTGATTAGATGTACTTGTCCCAAACATCCAGCATTGATTTAGTGGAATCTCTGGGTCATCAACCTGGCGGAGATTCCACTGAATATTTGCCATACGAGTTGTCTCACCACCTCTATCACTTCGTACGAAGCGTGGCTGGATACCTCTAATTCTTAAAGTTTCTAGAAACTGAAAGAGATAACTAACTGCTATAGCAGATGAGATACCAACATAGGCCCAGATAATATATCTTGAGTATACATCTATACAGGCATAGATCTTAATACCGTATAAGCTAAGCTTGTGGTACCCATCCATACTCCAGATATAATCAGGACCTTTTATAATATACTGGCCTCTATGGCGCTAAAAATCATGATAGCGGTGTCGTACACCCTCTGGATTAATAGCCGATCTCTAGATAGATTCTTAGAATAAGTCTTTATATATAGATAGAAGGGTATAGATACCGTGTAATCTGGACTCTAGCTCCTAGGAAATGTGCATGGAGTAGGCCTCGACCAAACCCATTAATTACTCCTGACTCTAAGCCTTCCCGTATGAGCTGCATTACCTTCTCACTTTTAGCCTGTTGTGCATCAATACCTCGTACCTTTCGTACGATACCCATATCTATACGACGGCGATATAGAGAACTCCGTGAGATCTTAAACCCTTCTTCTTGAAGGA